TTTGCTAACGTTAGCTACCAGGTTAGCGTACTTTCTTGCATCGCCTTATTCGAGCAACCAGAATTGTCTGAACTCTGATGTAGTTTTTCCTAAACTCTCCTGGTTTTGTCAGCAGTCTTGGTGCCATCAGGCTCCTCTGAACAAAATTTGTCTCCTTTATGTCATGGCAGTTAGTTTGGATCAGACACAGCAGTGCTGCTGGAGTTTTTAAACACTGTGTCCACTCACTGTCCACCCTATTAGACACTCCTACCTTGTTGATGTAAAGTCAGAGACGATAGCTCATCTGCTGCTGCACAGTTTGTGTTGGTCATCCTCTACCTCTTCATCAGTGGTCACAGGACGCTGTTGGCTGGATATTTTTGGTTAGTGGACTATTCTCAGTCCAGCAGTGACACCAAGTGTCTGATCCACTCGCACCAGCACAGCACACACTAACACACCACCAGCACATCAGTGTTACTGCAGTGCTGAGAATGATCCACCACCCAAATAGTACCTGCTCTGTAAGGGTCCATGGGGGTCCTGACCACTGAAGAACAGGGTAAAAGGGGGCTAACAAAGTATGCAGAGAAACAGATGGACTACAGTCTGTAACTGTAGAACTACAAAGTGCTCCTATATAGTAAGTGGAGCTGATAAAATGGACAATGAGCGTAGAAACAAGGAGGTGGTCATAATGTTAAGCCTGATCGGTGTATATTCTAAACGTATTCTGAATGTTTTACTCTTTTTGTATTGTACTAAAAGCGTTACTGAATACATTTAGGACAGTGTATTCCGTGTTAAGCCATCACTGCTTTTTCAGTATCCTGCTCGACACTGATTGTCATCGAGGAACAATCACATTACAATTTTAGTGAAATGACCGTGATTGAACTTGCTAACTTTGCAGACTGTGAGCTACAACTCATAGGCTACATCAGCACTTTCTGGACTTCCTAGACGAGACGCTGGCTCAGTGACATTCAGAAAGTGCACTACGGTGTAATTAAACGAACAGCACAGTTAATTATGAGGGTGCAAATAAATTCTTGAAGAAAACACATCAAGATAGCGTCTGTATGCACCCCTTCTGCTGCACTGTGTATCCTTCTAGCTTTTTCATCATTACTCCATTCCTAAATGCCAAAGAAATAAACATCATTAGCCTGTGATCCCAATCAGCAGCAGAAATGCTCAAAAGAAGCAGACGTCTGGAGGCTCATCAGTTGCACTATGCATTTTCAGGAGACAACATATGACTTCACTTTAGCATTACAAACTTATATACATCATTATTATATACATTTTGTATCATTATACAATAATAATTATTATTATTATTATTTACATTATTATTATTATTATTATTATTATTGTTGTTGTTGTACATTGCTATATTATTATTATGTATTATATACTGTTATTCACATAACACCAAATGTACTGTGGCCTGAAATGAACACAACCAAAAGTACAATTTTGGGGTTGGAAACAATGAGAAGAAGTTTAACATCAATATTATTCATTCGTTGCTAAGTTAGATAAAGTGAACGGCGGTGAGTAACGTTTGTTTATTTGATGTTTGTTAACACCTTTAGAGGGCGGCAGTGAGTAATGTTTTTTATTTGATGTTTGTTAATGTCACCTTTAGAGGGCGGCAGAGAGTGACGTTCGTTTATTGGATGTTTGTTAATAACACCTGTAGAGGGCAGCGGTGAGTGATGTTCGTTTACTGGATGTTTGTGAGTGACGGTCGTTTATTGAATGTTTGTTAATAACACCTGTAGAGGGCAGCGGTGAGTGATGTTCGTTTATTGGATGTTTGTGAGTGACGGTCGTTTATTGAATGTTTGTTAATAACGCCTTTAGAGGGCAGCGGTGAGTGACGTTCGTTTATTGGATGTTTGTGAGTGACGTTCGTTTATTGGACGTTTGTTAATAACGCCTTTAGAGGGCGGCAGTGAGTGACATTCGTTTATTGGATGTTTGTGAGTGACGTTCGTTTATTGGATGTTTGTTAATAACGTCTTTAGAGGGCGGCAGTGAGTGACATTCGTTTATTGGATGTTTGTGAGTGACGTTCGTTTATTGGATGTTTGTTAATGATGCCTTTAGAAGGTGGCGGTGAGTGACGTTCGTTTATTGGATGTTTGTTAATAACGCCTTTAGAGGGCGGCGGTGAGTGACATTCGTTTATTGGATGTTTGTGAGTGACGTTCGTTTATTGGATGTTTGTTAATAACGTCTTTAGAGGGCGGCGATGAGTGACGTTCGTTTATTGGACGTTTGATAATAACGCCTTTAGAGGGCGGCAGTGAGTGACGTTAGTTTTTTCAATGTTTGTGAGTGACGTTCGTTTATTGGATGTTTGTTAATGACGCCTTTAGAGGGCGGCAGTGAGTGACGTTTGTTTATTGGACGTTTGATAATAACACCTTTAGAGGGCGGCGGTGAGTGACGTTCGTTTAATGGACGTTTGATAATAACGCCTTTAGAGGGCGGCGGTGAGTGGCGTTCGTTTATTGGACGTTTGTTAATAACGCCTTTAGAGGGCGGCGGTGAGTGGCGTTCGTTTATTGGACGTTTGTTAATGACGCCTTTAGAGGGCGGCGGTGAGTGGCGTTTGTTTATTGGACGTTTGTTAATAACGCCTTTAGAGGGCGGCGGTGAGTGGCGTTCGTTTATTGGACGTTTGTTAATGATGCCTTTAGAGGGCGGCAGTAAGTGGCGTTCGTTTATTGAACGCTTGTTAATAACGCCTTTAGAGGGCGGCGGTGAGTGACGTTAGTTTATTGGATGTTTGTGAGTGACGGTCGTTTATTGGATGTTTGCTAATAACGCCTTTAGAGGGCGGCGGTGAGTGGCGTTAGTTTATAGGAGGTTTGTTAATAACGCCTTTAGAGGGCGGCGGTGAGTGACGTTAGTTTATTGGATGTTTGTGAGTGACGGTCGTTTATTGGATGTTTGCTAATAACGCCTTTAGAGGGCGGCGGTGAGTGACGTTAGTTTATTGGATGTTTGTGAGTGACGGTCGTTTATTGAATGTTTGTTAATAACGCCTTTAGAGGGCGGCGGTGAGTGACGTTAGTTTATTGGATGTTTGTGAGTGACGTTCGTTTATTGAATGTTCGTTAATAATGTCTTTAGAGGGCAGCGGTGAGTGGCGTTCGTTTATTGGACGTTTGTTAATAACGCCTTTAGAGGGCGGCGGTGAGTGGCGTTCGTTTATTGGACGTTTGTTAATAACGCCTTTAGAGGGCGGCGGTGAGTGGCTTACGTTTATCGGACGTTTGTTAATAACGCCTTTAGAGGGCGGCGGTGAGTGGCGTTCGTTTATTGGACGCTTGTTAATAACGCCTTTAGAGGGCGGCGGTGAGTGGTGTTCATTTATTGGAGGTTTGTTATTAATGCCTTTAGAGGGCGGCGGTGAGTGACGTTAGTTTATTGGATGTTTGTGAGTGACGTTCGTTTATTGGATGTTTGTTAATAACGCCTTTAGAGGGCGGCGGTGAGTGACGTTCGTTTATTGGATGTTTGTTAATGATGCCTTTAGAAGGCGGCGGTGAGTGACGTTCGTTTATTGGACATTTGTTAATGATGCCTTTATAGGGCGACGGTGACGTTCGTTTATTGGACGTTTGTTAATGATGCCTGTAGAGGGCGGTGGTGATGTTCGTTTATTGGACGTTTGTTAATAACACCTTTAGAGGGCAGCGGTGAGTGCCGTTCGTTTATTGGATGTTTGTGACATTCATTTATTGAATGTTTGTTAATAACACCTTTAGAGGGCGGTGGTGAATGACGTTCGTTTATTAGATGTTTGTTAATGACGCCTTTAGAGGGCGGCAGTGAGTGACGTTTGTTTATTGGACGTTTGTTAATAACGCCTTTAGAGGGCGGCGGTGAGTGGCGTTCGTTTATTGGACGTTTGTTAATAACGCCTTTAGAGGGCGGCGGTGAGTGGCTTACGTTTATCGGACGTTTGTTAATAACGCCTTTAGAGGGCGGCGGTGAGTGGCGTTCGTTTATTGGACGCTTGTTAATAACGCCTTTAGAGGGCGGCGGTGAGTGGTGTTCATTTATTGGAGGTTTGTTATTAATGCCTTTAGAGGGCGGCGGTGAGTGACGTTAGTTTATTGGATGTTTGTGAGTGACGTTCGTTTATTGGATGTTTGTTAATAACGCCTTTAGAGGGCGGCGGTGAGTGACGTTCGTTTATTAGATGTTTGTGAGTGACGTTCGTTTATTGGATGTTTGTTAATGATGCCTTTAGAAGGTGGCGGTGAGTGACGTTCGTTTATTGGATGTTTGTTAATGACGCCTTTAGAGGGCGGCGGTGAGTGACGTTCGTTTATTGGACATTTGTTAATGATGCCTTTATAGGGCGGCGGTGACGTTCGTTTATTGGACGTTTGTTAATGATGCCTGTAGAGGGCGGTGGTGATGTTCGTTTATTGGACGTTTGTTAATAACACCTTTAGAGGGCAGCGGTGAGTGCCGTTCGTTTATTGGACGTTTGTTAATAACACCTTTAGAGGGCAGCGGTGAGTGCCGTTCGTTTATTGGATGTTTGTGACATTCATTTATTGAATGTTTGTTAATAACACCTTTAGAGGGCGGTGGTGAATGACGTTCGTTTATTAGATGTTTGTTAATGACGCCTTTAGAGGGCGGCAGTGAGTGACGTTTGTTTATTGGACGTTAGTTAATGATGCCTTCACAGGGCGGCGGGGACTGATGTTTGTTTATTTGACGTTTGTTAATAACGCCTTTAGAGGGCGGCGGGGACTGATGTTTGTTTATTTGACGTTTGTTAATAACGCCTTTAGAGGGCGGCGGTGAGTTACGTTTGTTTATTTGATGTTTGTTAATAACACGGGTGGCCTCTCACTTTTGCACATTACTCTATATCAGAAACGTTTTCCTATAAAGTTACCTCTCAGAGATATGAGGTAAAACCCATAGCAACCAGCCGCTAACACACCCAGACATCCACACACAGCCAGCCTACTCACGGATCATCCACGTCACTCTCCGTTTCGCTGTCAGGTCTCTCTCTCTCCGTCTCTCTCTCTCTCTCTGGGGGAAGGTCGTCGATGGCGGGCCGCGAGGGGGGGTTCGACGTTCCCTCCACCATCTCCTTCAGCACCGACCCGCCCTGCGACTCTAACAAAGAGGACGAGGATTGCCAACCTGACAACTTTTATCACAGCATCTCACCCAGACACTCCCCTCTGCCATCCCTGAGGTCAGTTTTTAGATTAGGTAATGGGTAAACTACTGACGATAGTGTTACAGAGCGTCTCGGCGCTTGTGGGACAAATCCAATCACAAGAGGACAGACTGTACTGCGCATTGTGATTCCTGGAAAATGACTCTTTACTGCGAATTGTGGCTAAATATCGCAAAATGGCTTCTGGCAAATCATAGCGGCACTAAAAATAAGATTTACCTTTCTTCAGAGTGCCAGCCTGCGAATGATTGACAGGCTGCTGGCCTTCACCAGGCTGAGTCGATGGATCTGATTGGGTGGGTGCCAGGAAAGGGACCAATGAATGCCAAGGAAACACTGGAACCGATCTGGGCTCCACATTAGTCCACACTACAGAAGGAAGGAAAACAAGAGAAGAGTGATTCTAGGCTCTGTTAACACCCAGCAACTCGGTACACGAACACCTGAACGCTGAGGAGCCAGATAAACAGTTTGATCTGAATAGAAAAATAATAAAGCCCCAAAATGAATAATTATAATGAGATATTCCACTTTTTCTTTTCTGATATCGATACTGATACAGAAACCTTGAGTACTGGCCAGCGCTGATCCAACAATTCTCCTGGGAAACTAAACCTGCTTCACCTATTTTTATAAAAAAAGCTTGATTAAGGCTGTAAACATTAAAATTTCACTGTTTTTGTTTTTGTCATAAAAACCAGCACCTTTAAATACCTCTGCCAGTTCAGCTTACAGTAGTTTAGTCCCACCCATTCGCACTGAAGTCATAAGGAGTGTTTCAGCGCAGGCTGCTTTGTCAAACTAGGCCTAATACAGGGCAGCCAATCAGAACAGAGCTCATATATCTATGACTTAAAGGCACAGTAACAAAAGCAGGAGCATGGGGGATAAAGAGATAAAGTGAGGTTACAAAATGGTCATGTAAAACAGAATTATGAATGTTGCAGATCCAGAAACTCATACAAATGTCACAAGTGGACCTTAAAATATAAGAAAATATCAGAAATGTGTAGGTTAACAACTACTAAGCTTTAAAATGAGCTGTTTTGACAGCAGTATTTCACTTAAGATGAGCATCTAATAGTGGGTTATCATGCCGATAATGTTCTACCACTCGAGCACATTTGAAAACTGCTAGCAAAACTATGAGTACATTGATTTTTGTTCAACTTTTAAAAGATATGCTGCACTAGGGGTGGGCGATATGGCTGATATGGCTGATATGATATATTGTGATACTTCTAAACATTTTCTCAATGCACGATATTTCATTTCTCGAGGTCTGATAAGTTGGAACAGACAAAAATAGCATTAGTTTTAATTAAGAAATAACTAAAATGATTTTTAGTTGCTGTTTTACAAACTGCACTGCACTAAATGTAATTAAACAGAACTATTGTACTCTCAGTGTAATTTAACATGTAGTTGGTCAGTGTTGACAACATCCAAGATATGCTCCAAGAAGCTCACCGTGACGTAATTTATCATGATAAAGATATGATATCGCCTTACTGCCTACCAGTATGCAGGACTGGACTGGGTTAATGCCCTTTTTACCAGCCCAATGACTGACACCTGTGCATTGTTCCTGTCACATGCTAAGGAAACACTGTTTGGCCTGATATCTAGGCTATACCACAGCTCACTCAACCACAACCATCTGACTGTAGCTTCATCCACACACAAGTAAATATCATATAAAATTCTTCTGACAAACAGTCAATCTCCCCTCGTCCCTCTTTGACAACTGATGGATAGAAAATAAAATTAGATATGGTTTACATGCTTCTATGGCTTCTTCATCTGTTATAGCAATGATCACACTGTAATATTAATAGGGATGCACCGATATGGGAACTCTGCACCAATGCCAATGTTTGATATTTTCGTGTACATATCTGTGGATACCGATACATAAACATCTAGAAAATGTCACAAAGATCCACTTGGATTATATGAAGGAGAAAGATCAGATTTACTTCTGTAGGGTTACAAATGCAGTTAAGAGAATAAATGCAGACGTTCAGCTCTTCCACTGTACATTAAAAACAACCAACCAAATATCGGTTAGAAATATCAGTCGGAACTAAACATTTGTCCCATGCCAATATTTTTTAAGCAATTTAGTTATACACACCCTGCTGAAAAAAGACCACTAAAACCACTGGGGTTAAGGAACCAACACATATATATTGTATATATCCCTATAAATCCCTTTCAACATGAATTAATCAAAAGAGTCTAAATGTACGAAGGTTTTGATAGGGACAGGTTCAGGATAATCAGATCAAATATCAATAAAATATCGCCCTATTGGCAGTTTCCACCGATTTTTCACAATTTTTGCATAATTCCATCATTGCAATGTAAACAGTCATTCAGAATGGTTTGGTGTGAAATCGTTGATTGTAGAGACTCAGATTTCTTTACAGTGGTGGTGATAGGAACCAGGGGTCACCATGTCTACAACACAAATCTAGACATTGTATTTCCTATCCAAAACCACCAGTGAACCTACACGAGTCTTATGCAATACTGATGATAGAAAAAGTCATAAATCTGAAAAAAAAAATCAATTTTCTTTGGGACTATTTTGCCTCACAACGCCCTGCATGTACCCCTCCGCCCTGAATGGATGAAAACAAATGTATTAACAAGAAGTTTTGGGCCAAAACCTTATCACAAAACTTATCATACAACAATCTCTCAGACATCACAAGTGCTTTCATAACAATTTCATGCAATAGCTTCCTGTGAGGGAGCTTTTAGAGGTGGACGTCTGGTTCCTATCACCACCACTGTGAACAATTCTGACTGTCTAGAACGGAGCATTTCACACCGAAGCACCCAGAACGACTCTGTTTACATCTTATCCATTTAATTATGTATCGGTTTCGAGAAATTAGTGGAGTTCCCCTTTAGGCTTAGTCAGAATCCCTGTTACTCACGACTTACATCAATTTACACGAACACTAGTGTTATTTTGGGTATGTTACAGGTTTACAGAGACACACAAAAAAGCAAAAGAGAGAAAAGCCCAAGAGAGTGAACTGACCAAACATGCTCAGTCCTTGGCGGAGATATTGCGGGCTTTCCGAGGAAAACATGGTCGATGAAGAAATCTGGAGTCTCTTGGCGTTATAAAAACTTCATTAACGTGTAATAAAACGTCCGGAGCGTCTTCCTCTTTAAATGTCCATTTGGTATAAACAGTACGAATCCTTTCTAGCAGAAACGCAGCATCTTCGTGCTCGTTGTCCTTGGCAGGTGATGATGGTCAGTCCACGGATGAAAACAAGCGGCCATAATCGATGATGAGCAGCAACATCCGAGTTTTTGGTAGTTTTGGTTCACTCCGTTCTGCCAAACGTCCCTCTTTCGGGTCCTAAAATCTTTGGATAATCACCTTTTTGTCTTCAAAAACCGAGGACTTAGTGGCTCAGAGAAGAGTCTAGCTTTTTAAAGTCCATCTAACCGAGTAACCGAGCTATTGGCAAACCAGGCTAGCTTGGTTTCTCTTTCATAAACACACACATCGAGCAGGCATTAGTGCCAAAAAAACATTATTTTTTTGACCTCGGAAAGCGGCCGTAAGGTCAGCTTAAACCGAGCTGCAACTTGATTCTCCGCATTAACTTTATATTTGGAAGATCTGCTTTATTTTTGGTCCGAAAAGCCCCCCTTAACGCCCCCTCGCTTCGCCTGTTTGTTTACATTGACTGAGCGGAGCGGCGGTTAAAGGGTTAGCTAGGCCTCAGAGTCCCCGGACTCGCGTAGTGCGACCTAACCTAACCTCAAGCTAACGTCCTAACCTTAACGTTGAGCCTAATTTACAGCACAAAACGCACATTTATTAGCTGCAGAGAGAGAGAGCGTGTATCTAAATGTGATAAAGCAAGTGTCCAATGTTATTCTGTCTAATGTTATGTGTTATTTTTCCACCCCAGCTAGCTAGCCAGCCTGTTAGCTAGCATGCTAATTAGATCAACAACTGCCGGGGCTCAGCCGCGGCTTTTAAAGATGTGGTTTTCTTCTTTGGATTAGATATGAGCAAACACCGCGGATTACAAAACGTATAAAATATCGAAGGGTGGATGTTTGGGAGGGGTGGAAAAGGAGCAAAACTGGGTTTCACAGTTGCATATTCTTATTCGCATGGCCTGCGAAGGAAAATACACCAGCTGCAGACCAGCGAGACTTCCGTGGCTGTCAAGGCGGCGGAGAGAGATTTTTCTTTATTGTATTTCTTTTATTTCTACGTCGTGAACGTGTCGGCAGCTTCTAACACTCAGAGAAACGCGCCTGGCTTGCTGTGAGCGAGGCTGCATGGCCGGGGCGAACTGGCCCTAATCTCAGCTCCACATGAGTCCGTCCCCCCGGGAACGCCCCGGTACCCTCACCGCCGAAAAGCACCGGGCGAACGGAGCCAGCGCTCATCTCACAGCTGCGCTGCGGTCTGGCTAAAGGAAACGACCTGACGGTGTCGAGCAGGAAAATACAGACTGAAAGAGACCTCCTCCTCGTAATGTTACGTTTTTGGGGCGAGCTGCACTTCTGCACTTACAACAACACGACCCCCTTTCCCTCACTTGGCTCAAAAACTGGCTTACAGTGGTCGCCTTTTTTTGTTCCTTTAAGCTTCACTACAACGCGAGCATCCTCTGCTCCACACAATAACAATTTGTTCTTGGCTGCTGTGGTGCCCTGCCCGAGGCTGCTCTCTCTCTCTCTCTCTCTCTCTCTCTCTCTCTCACTCTGCTTCTTCTTTTTCTGCCTTTACCACCCTCTAAAACCCATCCACAGCAATCAGGGCTCAGACTGGATGCGTGAAGCCTTAAAACCTACACCAAAATACGGCTTCTCATTTTAAATGCCCCTCTCTCTCCCTTCCTCCCTCCCTCACTCACTCACTCCCTCACTCACCCCAGCTTGATAGAGTCTAGCTCATCCGAAAAGGCTAATAGACCTGAAATGCCGCCGCTGAGCTCTCTCTCTCTCTCTCTCTCTCTCTCTCTCTCTCCCACTCTCTCTCCCTCCTCTCAGCTCGTCACGAACACCGTCAATGCATTTAAGCTTTCTTAAATTAAAAACAAGAGCAATACAAACGTCCGGCAACGTCCAGCTCCCCTCCTTATCCGAGAAGGCCGAACAAAAATGACCATAAATCAAAGCACGACCGGAGCAGATCAGCTGAGCCGGGGTGCCGATGCTTCAGCCTGAAAATGATGGATCTGAAAGTGTCCAGCGCTCGTACAGCGCGCGCACACGCACGCACTCACACACACACACACTCCGCTCGTGGGGCTTCAGCCGCAGCAGCAGCAATAGCAGCAGCCGCGCGCTCCGTAGGCGGCCGTAGTAGAAAGCCG